TTCGACATGTACGTAAAAATATTGAACATAGAATACCAGGCTACATAATGACTTTCTCTCTTTAGGTATTTAAGTAGATATAAGAAGGTGTTAACATCATGTTTACCATTTATCACAAAATAATACGCATCATCAATTAACTGAGCGCGATTCAAAACATTAATTTGTGTATAATTATGATAGATTAAGTGAGTAGAGATTTTCACCCAATTATTGGAGTCGTAATTGACGCGATAATATCCTGCAGATAAAAAAAAAATAGCATTGTGTTAAGCTATTATATCATATTTTTTAGTCATATTTACTGAGGACTGTTAGTTCTCATGTTTCTTTCTAGACAGTATAATAAGAAAGGTTCGAAGATTTACGTATATTATATAAAATATAAGATATAAAACGTTACATAACCTAAAGTAAACGTATCATCATAGATATTTAGCGATAAATACTCACCCATTTGTTCCACATTCACAATTATAAAATCATACATATCAGTTTCAAATGTATATACGTTGCTTAAACAATCGAATAAGATTTTGCTCGGTGTATTATACACGAAAGTACGATTTGATATTATAACATAAGTTATGGGTATCTTCCACCTCGTTTCGTTGCAAGTATATACCGAAAGTATTATAGAACCTGTATTATTATCACAATCGACTTTCAACTCGGGAAAATGCCTTTGCGTTATCCATGTGTCCATTATTTCAGTTATGTTGTAAGGCATTTGCTTGTTTAAAAGCCTTTACTCTGTGGTCCAGAGGTCACTGATAGAGGCTGAGATATCCTCACTAAACAAATAAAATTTAACTTAAATAACTCGTAATTTTTGTATTGTTTTAAATAAAGAAGAAAATGACTGCCTTATTTTACATCGATTTATGTAATTTATTATCTCAGCACCCATGATAACGCATTTCATAAACGCATTACTGACATCTCCAACGTCAAATATGTGTCATTAATAGGTTAGTTAATGTCGTATTGTAATTTAGGTAAAAATATATCAAATGATATATGTATGACATCTTAAAGACATCTAAAAGAAATCTTAAATTTCGAAAGATCTTATAATATCTTGCGCCCCGACATAAGGACGTCATCGAAACATTGTTTCAAGACGCATTAAATAAAATGTGTTTAAGATGTCTTTTAGACTTGTGTGTTTTCCTGGAATATATTAATTAGGATATATTGTTATCGTATTATACCATGCATTACTTACCATTCTTCTACACATTTCCGAATACGTTTGGAGAAATATTCCGGCTTCTCAAAAAAATACAAGAACATGCGCATTAAAACAGCTCCTACAATAATTTATAAACATAATTGAATAAATTGACATAACCCTAGTATCACTCTTTGGTGTAGCATATCTATACTATTTTTTAAACGGTTGCCGTTTCTACATAATGAAAAGTACGGGAAGTCGGAGGTTAGAGAAAAATAATTTCCGCTACAACTGCTTGCTGCGTAGCCCTATCTATTTAGCTGTTTAGCAGATTTAGTAAATATCATTGAAATCAATTCTGACGTTAAAATACTTTATATTAAAATAACGTAATTTTTATAAACATTTGTCCCATATCCTTTTCCGGAAAGTTATATACTTCACTTTTAATAATGGTAATTAATTTTATATAATACAGTGTTACAAAAAAAACCATAAATCCCCAAATAAGCTTTGGTGATTATCGAAATTTTTAATCTTTTTTCCAAAATTTCAAAATTTTATAACACCTCAGTCTTAAGCAATATTAGTAGTGTACTCCTGACATTCTAACGTTCAAATTAAAAACGAGATTGTTAAAGAATATCCACTACTTGAAAAAATATGCAGACTCAAAAGTAGCTAGATGTATTACACCCATTATGGTTAATCGGAATTGGAAAGAAGTGTGGTGTGTATGAATTAATATATGTGGATATTGCAATAAATTATATAATGTTGAAAATTGAGTGAGAAGACAGCAAGACATAATTTACTGCATTTTAAACGCACTCTTTACATTAAATAATATCTTATCCGCTATCAATTCTATATTTAAAGCGTTCAGATGTTCTTGAATTATTTAAAAAAAATCAGTTCTTTTCAGTGCTTTAATTGTATAGTATATAGAAGATCATTTATATGAATTTATTACGTCTTACCTTTATTATAATACAATCGGGAGTAATGAATTGCATCAATTTCATCAATGGGAAACAAGATCTTGTTCTGTAACACAGGTGCCATTTGGAAATCGACGTCATAGTATAAAGCACCCTGCATTGTCTGAACGACGGAGAGATCCATAAACGACGAGTAAGTTGAGTTCTAGAAGTGATTATTATTGCCATCGAATTAACACGATATAAAAAACAACGTACGGGTTAACAATATAGAAGAATAAAATGCGTGACCTGTAGAAACGTAACTATATTCTGACAAAGGTAGGAACGTAGACTTACTTGAAAAATAGTAAAATGACTTAAGAAGGATGCCAATATCTTAATTAACCACTGATAAGAAGGACAGATTACTTGACCAAGGACTTCCCGCGCCATAGCATCGCCTATGAACTTGTAGATATTAATTTTACGACCAGGAAAATCAGTATTAGTATCAAACTTAATGCTATGTTCTCTGCAAGATAAACATAATATCATTTTGTGGAATATATCTGGACATAGATCTGGCATCACATATTCATAAATGTTTATTCTTGCGCAATTTTATAGGAAAAAAGTATCTTCCTGAATTTCACTGTTTCCAATAATTACTTTGCCTTATTAAAAGGTATATATTTGTTTCCCAAATTGCCGATTAATATTATAATATCCCTTCTAAATGACAAGAAGACATCGCTCTAAAACTTTCTACTCCATAAGCTATCAGTAGATTATGTAATAACATTAACTGCACCCTGAATACATACCTGTATATAATAACTCCTAAACTTCCTATGACTTGTAACGGAAAATTCGGAATCACGATGTGATCGGTTTTCATAATTCTGTCTTCGACTTTGAAATTAGTTGTCAAATTTCTTTTTATATAATAAATTTCATTCAAAATGTTCGTTTCCTCCACAGTTATATGTAGTTTACACCATAAATACTCGTCCTCCAAAGTATGTTGTATCATATTATCAAGCATAATAATTGCCACTTGACTTGAAGTTATAGGTTTACTAATATGGAAATATGTTAATGACATATTATTTGACTCATGTAACAACTTCTGCACTGGCATATTCGATATAACTTGGTATTGCTCAAAATGCCTGATTACAATCTCATAATTCATATATATTTCCGGCTCGTCCCAACATGGAAATACAGTTCGAGCACGGTTCGATGTCGACAATATTCCAAAAAACGACCTAATGCATAACATTACTTCAGTAAAGATAAAGCAATTTCAATTGTTACATAAATTACATTTGTCAATTAGTTATGTATAAATGGCATTAATTGTTATTGTATTGGGAATTCAGCCTGGATCTTAGAATAATGTTTACGAAAGACGCTCCGTTTATATATTAATAGTAATTAATATCTTTTAATAGTTATATAGTTTGTACAACGATTATAATTGTGTCATTTGATCGTTTAGTTTATCTATTAATAGTTATTAATAGTTTGGAGTAATATACAAATTGTTATATTTTCCGAACGAAGGAATTTACTTCTTTCTACAAAAAATAAATTTGAAGACAATATTACATGACTACTTTATGTTCGGAGTTTATTATTTCATAAAAATTAAAAAAAAAATTACATTTCTTCTAACCAAAAAACATTTACATTTGCAGTTACGTTTATATTTATTTTTGTGGACAATAGAAAGTTCCTTGTAAAATTAAATGGGACGAAAATGCCGCGACATTAAGTATATAAGTATCAGGTGAAATATAACTTTGTGTTTTTTCGCGTACGCGCACGCGTCATGAAAATCAAAGGAAACCATCGCAGCAATATCAATAACTTATCCGAAATCCTAACGTCAAAAAAATTTTGATTATAATATCTTGCAAACTAAAGCCATTAGTATTAGTTATAAAAACATTTTTCTTGTATATTTACTATACCATGATTTCAATTCTGATACAAAATTTTACAATGTTCCACGAGGATATTTCAGCATACAGTTATTTTCTTGATACATTGTACTTGAAATTTATCAACAATCTATTCAGATTGTTAAACATTATATTTGAAAAGAGAAAGAACCAATTAAAATTACTTGACAACTTTTATTAATTTCTTTTTTGTTCGTATAATGTAGTAAAGACGTCCTGTGTTCTTTTTTGTTATGCATTTTGTGCGTACTTATAATAATTTGTTATTAGAATTTTTAGTACTTTTGAATCACATATTGAAATTAGTTTATAGACATTTTCATATACACATTATATTACTATTTGCACAACATATTTTATACGAGATTCAGTTTAAACGATATGCGCGCGTGCGTGCGCATTTGATGTGTGAGAGAGTGTACAGGCTCAATAATTATGTTATGATTTATTATTTTTAATCATTATTACTTATTATTATTATTTATTATTATTTATTGTTCTTAATGATATCATTAAAACTATTATTATTGTACAAATCTGTAATTAGTGAATTTAAATTTTGATAGTTTTGTGAGTTTCTAGCTTTCCTATATCTAATCCATTTTGCAACCTAATATAAATAATAAAATTCTTGTAACATATAACAGTGATAATATTGTAAAATATAGGATATCGAAAATATGTCTTCTACAAACTGGTTGCGCATACACGGAATTAAAATGTTCACTCACCTTTTAGTTGTTTCAGTTGCTGTATATGTTATATATTGATGTGTAATAATATTTTCAAGCATATTGTGATACGTACTGATGAA